CAAATGTGATTTTATGTATTAGGTCATTGAATGTATCCAAAAACATGGTACCAATGATCTGAAATTTCAGGAGTGCTCGCTGAAGGTTTATCAATCTTGCGTATTGTCTTGTTCTTTTTCAATCCTGCATTTCAGTTACTAGAATTCATACTAAAAAAATAGTTTCTGTTTTTCTTCTAATAATTCGGCCACTTTCAAAAACAAATGTTTTTCCATGGTCAAAATGCAAGAAGAATACAAAACTACTGTGATTTCATAGCGATACCTGTAGGGCCATTGTCAATTAGTTCGCCTGATCAACACAGCGTTGTACATAGGACTGACATTGAATCACGGAGAGTAAAATCTTGTGATACTAATCTCTAGAACCAACTCAGATTGATACATATGTCTTATGAACCCACATGTGTATATCTTTGACTATACTCATTTTAAACTTTTTTTTTTACATTGGTGCTGTGAACTGAATTTTTTCTGGGTTCCTACAACATGGAGTGTCAGGGACTTTATTGAAATGTTGTACACAAATTTCATAAAATCCTGAATATATCTAGAAGTCAAAATTATTTAATTTTACATATATAAATGGTTTACAGTATTTTATACCCGTTAATAATAATTTAAATGCAATAATATCACTGCACTAAAAAGACTTCAAACAATTATTGTTACTTCTCCATTGAAGGTTATGAGCAGACCAACATTTACGTGCTCTGAAAACATAGCTTTTACAATTGTTTAAATTAACAGATGTTATTCTATGTACAATGTATACATTTTAAATAATAAACCTTACTGTGTTTTATTAACAAATTGTATTTGACAACATGAGAATGATTCTGATGCCCAGTGGTGATGTTGAAACAAACCCAGGTCCTGGTAATATACTAAGACCTGAATAACAAAGAAGTCATGTACATCAAGGTTCACTCAGATTTATGAATGCAGTTTCTTGAGCAAGTATACATGTATGACAAATAGTTTGGTTGCACTTGTGTACTCTGAGATTCTGAAACATGGGTCAGTGGAAGTTTTTAGTTGTCAGTACAAAACTAGATCATCGGAAATCACTTTATGATGAGTTGTAACAACAAAGAGTACATATTTATTCACCTGTTTGCAGATGTTCCTTGTACAACTTAATATATAATCAAATAACGGGGACTGTGACATTTCATGTCTTGTTAATATAGTGAACGATTAATCAAAAGATATGACGCATTCAGTACTTAGTGTGATTGGCTTTATGATTGAAGGTTACGCCCTAGAGTCTTTTTACTGCTTTGTAATTGGTTAGTGTTTTGAAAATGAATAAAGTTGTTTTAGTTGGTCTTTGCGAGTACAGCACGACAGACACAGTCCAGTCCTGGAGAGTCTTGGGGCGACTCTTGAGACTCAGTCTTGGACAGAGTCTTGGGTCAGCCTTGCGATAGTCTTGGGGACTTTTCCCCAGGGCGCTGTGTCTTATAGAGTGCTCAAAAGACCGACTAAGACGAGAGTTGAAACGTATTTCGTTGTGTGTGTCTTATTTGACTGAAAAGCTTAAGTGACTTTCCCGATCCCATACCTCAAGGGGACGCGATAGAGAGACGAGACGAGATTCCCCCTGATATATATATATATTACAGCACTATTAAATAACTTATCCAATTCATACTATGAGCTATAAAATACATTTACATTAGTACAACAATATAGTATTATTTTTCTTGCCAAAGTGTTTTAAAAACTTGTATACAAATAGTGTTATATTAGTGACATTGTGATTAATAAAGTACCTGTAGTGTTATTTGAGGAACATGAGTGTTATTTATTGTTTATGTAATTATGGTGACTTCATTGTTCTTGTTCATTTCCAGTCAGAATTGTCGCCACTTAAATTTTAGCCAGTATTTAGTTTTAGTACTTTGATACTCACTTTATTCGTCTATTCATATAATTGCTATTTTATTTTGGTTTTCAATGAACAAGATTGTAATAGTTAGGCTATGTTTTTATAGATGTGACAGTTGAAAGGTCAGCAGATCAAAAACACATCGTCGCATATATCAAATTGTATCCATCACATTTTAAAAGCAGTGAAGAACACGGGCACGGATTCAATCGATCATAATGAATACTGTGATCCAAAAAATTTGTATAAAATTAATTAATGCCACATTGTCAGGGTAATTTATTACTCGAACTCGGATGAGTGTACAGACCACCTCCTGGCCTTGACTTGCTATTTTTATCAAACAATCCGCTTAGGTTGTCCACGTTGTACTGTTTGTGCGGACGACGAGAAGGCACCGTCTGTTAATTATGAACATTGAAGGAAAAGTTGCGTTGATCACAGGGGCAGGACACGTAATGGGAATCGGATATGCCATAGTGCGACAGCTTCTCGGTAAAAGAGTAAAGGTGGGTGACACTCCCACTATAGCGTGAACGTTTATATGTTGGCAATGTGGCTACCCCAATACCGTACTTTAATAATGTGTTGATATTTCCGACTAAACTTGATAATATCGTTGCTTTTGTGAACATATTTACATGATGCAGTTTATCTGACAGGTATTTTAATTAGTTAATTAGGAAACCAAGATGACCTCCCTTGTCCACAAAACTATAGGTTTTCGGAAAGCTTATTGTATAAATTTTAAAATTTTGTTAGTATTTTTTTTATGGACACTGTAGTTTGAAATATGCACAGAAATGTGCTTTTTTGGTCAAAGGTGATTTAAAAAAA